TTTTATTGGCAATTTGAATAGTGTTACAAGTTTGCTGATAGGCGAACAAGCGAATTTGACGGAAAAAATAGATCTAAAAATGAAAACAAGATATATTTTTAAAGTATCTGAATACATAGAAATCGCTTCATAACAAGGGTATTCATAAAGGTCTACGAGTAAGTTAAATACGTAACGATCGCAACTAGTTTCTTTATAAAAACAACTACTGTATATTATAAAACCTTAATATATTTTGCTTATTCGTTGCAGGAAAAATGGGAATATTTTGTTGCAAACCAGGCCCAAGTGAGTTTTTTAAATGCATGAAGGCACGACCTGAAATTGGACTTAATTTTATATTCTACCTTTTATTCATTATTTTTAATTTTAACATTTATTATAATTCGTCCAAATAAATATCTTTTGGCGACCAAACATATAAAGATATGTATAATTTTTCGTGGCTTAAGCGGACCAATAATTTTTGTAGTCGGGAATAATTATTGGGCCGCTTAAGCCACGAAAAATTTTACCTTTAATTATATTTTACTTTTATATCATATAACTCTATCAATTCTTGCATTAGAAAGATTGGAGCACGGAACAAAAACACATGGAGAGCAGGATTCAGCAATGAAAGGAACTGATGAATCATTGTACGATAATGAATCCGTAGAGAAGCTTCCAAATGGAGAGAAAGTTAACGTGGAAGACAATACTGATAATATTGAAAAACCGGACCCTGAATTGCATAGAAGCATGATATTACATAAATTAGATGAAATAAGGAAAACAGCTGGGCCATTTTCGGATGCTATCGACAAATTTACTCACCTGGAACACAGTAACAAGCATTATTATATTGAACAAAGTCTCAGAAGACTAATGGATCAATTAGACGACATGCATGATGAAGTGGGCAACGACGAGAGCTTGCTCGAAGAGAGGAAGAATGTCTACAAAATTGTATTTAGTTTATTCGGCAAGTTAGATGATAAATTATCAAACAGACTGAAGCAAGAAAATGAACAAAATGAAAAGAAATATGAACAAATTATTGTCGATGATTAATTTGTTAAGTTTGGTGATATTATTGTTGACGGTCGGATCATAAGCGTGCACATTGTTTATCTACTACTGTTCTTATTGAAAGGAACAGTTGATATATTTGAATAAATATTTAATGAAATATATGATTTGGTGACGCGTTATTTTCGACAGCAATGAATTGTTTAAGAATCGACCTATAAAATTCTTCACTATGTATGCATATTGAATTTAATTTGCAACACCATTTTGTAACCAGTAACTTTATGAAGGTAGATGAAAGAAAACTTACTGGCATCTACTTGAACAAGTGTATAAATACATTTGATTCAATAGCAAAGACGGTTAAAGTCTCTAAACAGACAAATTAAAAATCACATCCAATACAGTGAGGTGTTTGCATATTTTTGAAAATTAATATTTCAGTACGAAAAACTTGGAGACGAGAATATTCCAATATACCGTAAAATTTCTCAAGCATAATGAATAACAGACCATAGAGGGATTGTATACCCCATATGAACGTTCAAGCACTTTCCAAATAAAACATTTCCTTCACACCTACGAATTTTAACATTTCCTATCCGGCCTGGGCTTCACATTTTATTTTTCGTTAACATCCAACAACTTTAAACACTCTTGCACAAATAATATAGCGTCTTTTCTCAATTCCTTTACACGATCTAGACCTTTGGAATCAATATTATCCAAGCTTAAAGTTTTCTGTACTAAAAACTCCTCGTACTTTTTGCTCTCCCGCTCTAACTCCTCATGATCCAGCGATAAAATTTGCGTCTAAAAATAACAGCATGCCAATTTTACATAACGCAAGTCAATAAAAGCACCTTAATTAGCTCTATTTCCGCCCTAATGGATGTTATTCTATCAACGGAGACTTTTCCAGAATCTTCGCCAATATCGTCTGGCTGTTTTACACATATGAGAGCATTTTCAGAGCAGACTGTCAATTTTTGGCTCTCGACACTGTCTTCAGATGAACTTGTTGGTGTTTCGTCGTCTAAACTACCCAAAATATATTCAGTATTTTCGTGCCCTGCAGGAAAGTCTTGTTCCTCTGCCATTTTGACATGTTTTTATATTGTGTGACATTTTTTACTGAAGCGGTGTACCTGTGAGTGAGTTATAAACATTCTAAAGCGGATTTTAGCAAAAATTATTTTTCGTTCTTTAGCAAAAACATTCTATGGCAAAGCGTTATTTTTTTTGACAACGGTAAAAGTTGAAAAAGAAAGTGCGTTTTGTCATGAAATGGTATGTAAAATGATTCCCATTTGTGCACATACCAGATGGCATAAATCAGGTAATATGTAATTCAGTAGCCAAATGGTGCACGTGTGTGACCTGCAAGGCATATTATGAAATATAAACGACAAATTTGCTAAATTTGCAAACACTGAATATGTACTCTGGTTTGTTATTACTTTAGCGAAACACGCATTACTTTTAACACAGGGAAAAGTAGACGAATAAATCTGATGATGCTTTTAATGTTATCCAGTTTAAATTTGTCTAACAAACTTAACTTAATAAATTACGTTAAAAGTTTCACAGATAAAAGTGCTGTTTTTAACGCATCTTTATTATTATATTCCAAATCACCATTTCAATCAGAGACAAAAGTTTGAAATTTGGGCTCCATGAAACTGACCCATTCCGGCCCAGTATTGGTATGAAAATGCGTTGTCGTCTTGTTTAAGCTCTTTGCCACTGATTTTAATGTTATTTTGCCTCTTTTTCATAATTAATTGCTTTTAGAACTGTTGAATTTTATTATGGATTTTACACTATGATTCGCTGTTTAAGAATCGCCAACATATTGAATGGTAAATACAAATACCAAAATGCATCTAACTTCCAATACGTTGATTTTATTTGCAAAATAGAATTCGATAAAAAGTCAAATAGTCCTCACTAAACTTTAGTCCTCACTAAACTATGTTTTTTTAACTAATTTTCATTCATTCATAGAAGTAATTGCAATTAAATAATGAAGAAAACATTTTGCAATTAGAAAATTTACAAAGTTGTAAATAGGGCGCAAAGTTGCCATTTGCTAGTAACAGCCTTTGAATAAATTAAACTAAAGGGCATTTGCGAATTGCGATTGACTACCAAACTGCAATCATTACAAAAAAAAATACATTTGCACTTTCTATAAAAACCTTGAAAAGTATTTTCTCCAAACAATAATTTCTTGATTTAAAATTGCTCCGTTTCACTTAGGCCAACTAAAAATGCATACTAAATAATTAAGAATTTTCATCCGATAAGTAATCGTGTTAAGGTCATCTTTGCGGCTTAAGTGCATAATAGAAACATGAGTGATCCATTGAAGAAAAATTCCGTGTCCATTTTAAATTAACTAACGCAGCAAAACGGAGATTTTGCAAATATTGCAATTATAAAACTTCGATTACTTTCGGAATTTATTGCAAAATTGGCCTTTCCAAGTTTTCAATGGATGGCTAAACATCTTTTCAAGAGTTGAGTTGGAAACCTTTGATATCTTCAAACACCAACCGTTATTTTGAATTTTCAACCGTGAAAGCTTTCATTGCGTAATTTATATAGAAGAAGAAACGGTTTACTGTATATTAATAATGCTTTTCTCATAAATATTTGATTGTCGCCGATGTGGAAGCCTATTTCTATATTTATTTCAGTGGTTAAACCTCTACAACACATTTATCGGCAATTTTAAATTAAAAAAACTGACAAATATTTGCATTAACCCTCAGCCATTTAGGATTTTAGCAGAGAAATTCTATATCAATCAGTCTGAAAGCGATTTATTATACGTCCGCAATAAATTTTTAAAGAAGTCCGCTGCTAATGCGATATGTAATGCGAATTATTAAATATTTATATGAAAATACAACGGTGACACACTTGACGGAAAAGCGTAGTTCTAGAATCACTATTTAGCCATGAAAAGCTCTGGGGATGTAAAATATGACAATGCAAGTAAATAATATTCATAGTTGTAGAGTTATATAGGATAATTAGCTAATAAATAATCGAAATTACTGGCTATCGGTGCTAACAACCCTCAAGCAAACCAGAAAATATTTTGTAAATCCCACCATTTTTTCATTAGACAGTAGGTAACTGATATCTAAATTGCGGTTTGTGTGCAAACTATATCTACAGTAAATAAGTGAAGTCACGATTCATGTTTTCCCATCCCATAACCAGTTCCCAAATTAGATAAGATTAAAATTCATAATTGAAATTTGAAATCTGTTTCTATCTCCTGTGCGTCGCAATTCTATTAGAATAGTAAAGTGATTTTGTCATGCGCTTATATGTGGTTGGCTGTTGAAACCAAATAAAACATATGTAAGTATTCCAATAATTAATAATTTGTTTACCAAGGACAAAAATTATAATTTGTTAATTCCTTCGTTCACGATGTATCGTTAGTCATCACCAATGGGATTGATAGCGTTTGTTCAGATCTCTCATCAATATAAATAGGTTGTCAAGTACATTTGTGAACTGTGCCCGGATACTACTCGTACATACGATTTACATGTTTGTTTATACTAATCAATACATGGTTAATTTATTAGCTCGATTATAATACCATAATAATGCAAGATTCATCATTGCAAGTGTAACGAAAGAAAAACTGGTTTAAAATTTTCCGAATCAAAATGTGCAGTCTGTGAACAATCCAAAACACCATTATTTTGGAGAGAAAAGGTAACATCATACAATCCACCAACTTTCTCAGTAAAAGCATTAGACTTCTTCGAACAGGGGTTTCAAGTCGATATAACCTGTTGACAACAATTTTGCAAAGTGCACAATCAACAAAACGATCGTTTCAATTTCGAATATAAAGTGATGGAAATGTTCAGTAATTCATGTTAAGTATCGAATATGCGTTGTGTAATAATTGTCCATGTGCATAGGAGGGCTTTTATTCGACAAATAGGATTGGAAAATCGCTCAAAGTGAAGCATTTTTTTGTTGAACCACAGGTTTATTATTATGTAATAACCAAATGATGGAGTACTGCTTTACTGGGGAAATTATTTTTAAATTTCTTCAAATATGTGGACTTTCTTTTGGAAACAAAGCCTTGAATCGCCTTTTCAACCTTCAGTCTACTACTTCTCTCATTTGAAAATGGTTTTAATTCCTTTAGGTTCGGTACTTATTCGGTAATATTTTTTTATTTAATGCAACATATTAGTAAAAATATATTAATTTAAGGTATAGAACTGAATCAACTGTAATTTTGCACCTATCAAAAATCATTTGTTCTATCGCCGTTTGATTAAATCACAATTAAAAAAAAATTAAGTCGATAGTAATAATCCCCATTATGCATTTGTTGCCGGAGTATTTCATTCAATAATTTCCAAAGCAGTGTATTGAAATGAGAAGTTCAACTCAATTTCCACCACCATCACTAGACTTGACTCTTCTAGATCATTTTATGCGATGATTTTCAAAATAAAGCCGACTAGGAGCAGCAACCATTTTGGAATACTATTTCGGATCGGCCGATAATTCTCTTGAAATGTATTTTAGTGTTATTGTATAAATTCACTATCAATTTCACCACGAGAAGTCGTTAATTCGTCCTTAAATCGACGCAATTCTCTTATCGACAATTTGAAACAGTAAATTTAGGATGTATGGTTGTCTTGCTAATAGAGTTCAAACACATTTTGACAACAAACCAGTTACAATGTTGAGTAGAAATTATTAATTAAGAATTTGCCTGAAAAACGTCCAAAAAAAATTTCGATTCAGTTCGTTACTTTGTTTCTTCGTATACTGTTTGGAGAAACCTTAGGAATCATTTTTCAAACTAAATTTTTTACGAAACTTAAACTTTCAAAGCCATAAAAAATGTCCCAACTATACCTGAAAATACAGGTGGCTTAAGTATATACGGATGCATTTACATATATGCAATAATATATATATATATATGCAAACATTGCAATGCTCTTATCGAAATGATTTACAATGAGCACTGAATACAATTGTTGATTCTTAATGTACAGTGTTTCAATTATAATTTTTAATTTAAAATCGTTTATTCTTTTTTAGAGTTGCAATGTCTTTGAGGGATTTTTGCAAATCGTTACAACAATGCGCGGAAAAACTGGAACAAGAAGTGAAATATAACATCAACGAAGCTCACAATCTATTTTTTGCCAAAGCAATGGATGAAACCAGGCTGGCGGTGGAAAAGGCAAAGGACTATCACTACGGAGAAATCGTTAAAGCACTGAACCAGATATTAGAAAACGTAAAATCGCTTCTTTCCCATCAGGATAAAATCGAATGGCTGAGCAACGAGGCCAATTTCTCATCGTCTGATTTAAAAAAGTGCAAAAAAGGACCAGTATCGGCATCACCGAAGAGTGAACAAAAACCAGCGTTTTCCAGATCAGTTGAAAACATACCACAAAACACTAAAAGAGACCGGCGGAAGACTGTTTCGGAAGTTTCAGCCCAAACTCTAGAAGCGTGGGAGAAATACTTAGATCAAAAGGAAAGCGATGAAACAGAAGTTCTGGAAATTGCAACAAGGACGCAAAATACAGTGCCCCGAAGAACTTTGTCTAATGCCCGAGCTAGAAAAAAGTTCGTATCATCCACAATGGGCGGATTTTTAGATGACAATGGTCGACTAGCTAGAAGCTTAGATTCTATTATGGAAAAGTCTCAAAATGACGAAGAGATATATAGGAGCACTTTAAACACTATTTCCTCAGATAAACAAGAAAATATAGATGAAAAAGCTGATTGTACAGCTTCATGTGAAACTTTTAATAATTGTGCTGTGGTTGATGACCCACAAGATGAATCAAGGACTACTTCTATTGACCCGGCATTATCCACTCATGGCAATTCAGTTTCAAAAGCAGGTGAAGGAGAAACTTCCACAAGTATATACTTAAAGGGAGGAAGAAGCGACACATTGGATCTAGTGGAAAGAATTAATAAAAGTAATATTCAAAAAGAAGATATAATCACCGAGTTTATGAAAGATTTTGGGGACAGTGCAGAAAGCGAAATTGGCCCGCGGCAAGAAGACCCCATAGCGTTAAAGCCAAAGATTGTAGATGTTATTGTAAGTTGAAGTCTTATTCAAAACATACTGAAGTGGCGTTTACTATTTAGGAAAATTGTAAATGTTCTCGTTTTCAATACGATGGCAACATGAACTTTTTCGAGTCTAATAAGGCTCGTTCTCTTAATGTTAAATTTAGATCTAAACATTGATATTTATTGTTTGTTTCAGTATAAAAAGAAGCAGTCCCATTAAATGGGGGATTTACGTGTATATAAGCTTCAAGTGATTTTGTGAAAACGATTAAGACTGGTCTACTTATGTAAAGTTGAATGATATGAAAATAGATTTGTTATTGAAAAGAAATGCATTTGTCTTGTTTGTAGCGTTGCTCAAATCACAATAAAATGTGGGATTTTTTCAAACTAAATCGACAAACGAAGACAAAATCCAGATTATTTAGATGATTGAACAGACTCATCCAAACTATTCTTTTTGCCGTTGATTTTTTATTTCAGCTTATTGCAGTTTGCCCAGAAACATTATAGACCTTGAAAGTTAATATTTTTTATTAAAACTATGAGCGGCACATTTGTGAAAAGCAACTGATCGGTTGAAAAATGTTCCGGGATTATAAGTTCCGGAAGTTCACATTATCAAATGCGGTCTGAACGATCGAAGTTGACTTCAGTGTCTCTCTTCGATGACTTTTCTTCAACTGGTGCTCTTATTGCGAAAAATTTAGTTTGTGTTAGTTTCGGTTCTGCAGAATTCACTTTTTTGGATGGTCTTTAAAATGGCACAAACTTTTTCAACTCAGTGTCGCTTGTGAAAATGCAACCTTCTGTGAACTGTGAACAGATTACTTATTGGACTGGCAGATCCATTAGACGGGCAAAATGTAGTAACATTTTTTGCAAATGTTCCCGTTCTTTTACAAGACGTGCGATTACAGGCATGTGGTTTCTATTATAAAAGAAGTGACGACATTTTTAAACAATCCTTTTCCGAATCGACCCATTAGACCAGAAGAACATGTCGTTTGGCCACCAAAGTAACCAGACCTAAATACTTGAGATTTTTTCCTGTGGAGTTTTATGCAAAGTTTAAGAACAGTAGAACAGCTTTAATTCTTTGCATCGATTAAGCTCCAGCAGCAATAAGTGAAAAATCGATCCCAGAATAGTGGTTCTATTGCCCAGAATTAAAAGAATAAGAAATTGGTCTTGTTGAAGTTAATGAAGACAACATTTTTTAAGCTATCTCCCAATCGTTGACTTACGTTACGAAAATTTGATGCAACTTTTTTATTTTTAAGTTAAAAAAAAGTTATTTGGAAATGATGTTTCAAAGAGTCAAGTCCGCATTGAGAACTTCTAATTAATTAAGTGATTAAAAATCAAAAATGTTAAATGTACCTTTCCTTGACTGGAAGTAGCCGTAATGAACAGATAACTTGAAAAATTTTCAATTCTGTAAAGATTTTAATTTCTTTCATCCAAATTCGCAAAACAGCAAAAATGAATTTTATAATTGCGTAATTTAAGGCCATTTATGTGATTATTGTGATTCCTGAAGCGCGGCACATTAAATGACAGAATCACGGACTTAAATAGGAAAGTGCACAGTTGCGTTTTCCATCACATTTCTATGCAGACAATGTAAACATAGTCGGTACTCTCAATTTCGGTGAATGAACAATAGAACTTTTTCCCATAAAATTTCTCTTTTGCGCACCTGTTTCGTTCGCCATTAATTAAACAAACGCGTTGTTTTACTACTTATCTCTTTTATCAGTACGTTATCGGAGATCTGCTATATTTGCTTTAGACAGGCGTATATCACTTTTAGGTGCGACATTGTCAAGTAATTATTTTTTAATAGGGAGTGACTAATTAAATCTGTGAAAAAGTGTCAAATCTTTGCAAGAGTTGCGAAATTGTGGAGCAGAATTACATTGGAACGACTATTGATGCGAGGTATATAAAGTAGCATTTGCTTTAATAATTTTTTAAAACTGCATTTACTTCATAAGGGATTTATTAATCGAAATGCCTTATCAAGGCTACTTAATCATTAGACTTAAGGGAAATATTACGATCATCCTAATGAGTCACAAATAGTTCAGCCGATATGTTCCAAATATAGTTGAAAATGTCAATAATATTAATTATTTTCATTCACAAAATAATTTGCTTTTTACCATCAATCAAATGAAGATTTTACTATCGATTGTTAAATGTGAATGAAGTCTCATATTTAATTGCAATACATTTTACTGAATCAAATGTCGCTAAAAAGTGTTTTTAAGGTCGCAAAAAGTAAACTTGAGTGAATTCGATTAGACAACCGATAATTCTGAGGAAAATTTTTTGGATTTTGGTGAAAAATAAGGCCGCATGAAAACAAAACAAAATAATTTTAATCAATTGCAATAAATTTTTTTGTTGTAAAAAAATGCTTTAGAGTCGTAAGAAACTACGTTTTAAAGCAATCAATCAATTCCAGTAAGCCCAAAGTGTTCTTAAATTGATTTCGGAGTCGCGATGTTGTTAGTAAATCTAAACTAACGAAATGAACGTCAACTAAATTTACTTTAACTTTGGGTGATTTGGTTTCTGTTTGAAGCGTTATCTAGATCATTTCTGTTCTGTTGGTCCATGTTGTGGTAAAAATTAAGCATCTCAGATAAATTTTCTCCAGGGTGGCAAATGAAAAAATTCAAGATTGCCTAAAGTTTGAAATGCTCCTATTAGACAAAGTATTTTTTTGCATTTCAACAACAAAAACTTAAAGATAAACTAAATAGCTCAAAGCAGTCCTTGAATTTTTTAGCTGTCTTTTATTTTTATAGGGTGGTCTCAAAAATCAACTTTTCGGTGTTGCAACAGTAACTTTTTTTAAATTTAAAATTGTTTTCGAGATGTGAGGTCTATCTTAATGCTTGTAGTGTTGAAATGCATGAAAAGACGTTTTTGTCCAACCAGGAGCATGTGGAACCTTCAAAAATTTTGCGATGTTTTATTTGCCACTCTATAGAAACTTTATCTGAGGCAATAATTGTATGTAAAAATACGCACTAGTGGAAAAAGAATTGCCCTAAATAAAGCTTCAAATAGAAATCAAATCGCTCTCAGAAATAAGAATTTATCCAGTTGGAAAATTAGTCGAAATTTGACCGAGCAAAACGTCTATTTTGTTGAGCAGTTTATTTAAGTTATTGTATATTTGATAGGAGCAATTTTTACAAAAAAATGCTAAAAGTATTTTATTTCACATTTTGTCGGTGTCAAATTTGTGCTTATAAATGCCGGTTGGTCGATAATTTGCTGCAGTTTTAATAATGAGAACATACTGATTTTTTTTATATTTATTAAATTTTTGGAAATACGGTAGTTTAAAATTTTATTAGTTTATATTGCAATTCTGTTTTTTTATGTAACCGGCAAATAGCTTTTGCTTTGTATTAAAAATGTTGCTAATAAATTTATTTTTGCCAAATAAATTCACCAACTTTTTCTTCAAAAAGTGAACAAAAAATTAGGTTTTATTTTATAGGCACTAAAAAGAGTTATCACGTTCTGAATCACTCAATTTTCTTTTTGAAGTTTCTCAATATAAGCAAAGCACTTTACTGGCTAATTGGTTAATACCGCATTAAGACAAAGACACCAACAGCTAATATTTTCCGCAATTTTTAGGTAAAACATGGGATCTGTAACTTCAAAATCGCCCCTCGAAAGACGTAATACCGTAGCAAGACGATCGCAAAGAAGAACACTGTACAATCTCAAACCGAAAATCGACCGACTAAATAAAGATATTAAAAAATTCAAGGGAATTACTGAGGACGTAACTTACGTATCCATCAAAAACGAAATCGAGTATTACAAAAACGACTTAGCACGAAAAGGTAAAGATTTACAACCCCAAGTGAGGACCGTCTACGAAGACATCTACAAAAGAATCAACGAAGCGGAGGCTGCGCTGCAAAGCAAACTGGAAGACAACAGGGAAAAACAAGAGAAGAAAGATGCGAAACAAAAAGAAAATGGAGGAACAGCTCAGAGCGAAATCGATAGTGGAGAAGTTCTCTCTGAAGTCAATTCCAATTCGGAAGACGCAGAAACGGTGGTTCAGGTTCACACAGACCACGAAAATACTGACACGCAAAGAAAAACTGTTGAAATCAAATTAATCAAAGTCGTTAGTGATGAAGGTAAGCTATATAACGTTTTATCGAATTCTCCCAGAATATATCTACACTTTTTTAATGGAATAATTTAATTCCTCTTGCTCCTTTTCTTATAAAAGCTGGCGTTTTACAAATGCTTAAATTTATATGGCTGGAAGCTTCGTGAATTATCTTCTCATATTTTAACATTTTTAAAGCGCTTTTTCATCAAAATTACATGCAATGGAAATATTTTAAAACAGTATGTAAATTAATCAACTTAATGTTATACTCAATTAATATCACCTAAAAGATATAATAAATTAAATGGCACTAATTTCAGGTGCTATTAAAAATAATCTAAGTCGAGAAAACGCTAAGATCACACATGCTTTTTTAAGTTAGTTAAGAAAACAAATGGAATTTTTAATTTACAAACTAGCCAATATTTTGAATTAGCGAAGAGTAGGATATAGTGGAATGGAAGTTCAATAGAAACAGAAACAATATATTACAAACATTAAATATCAATATTTAAACTCTGTATACTTGGTTTTAAGTGGCTCAACAAAAAGTCGATTTGTATCGAAAATTATTGGCATATAGAAAATAAAATGAATAAATCATTATGTTAAAATTAAGTGATTAGTAATAGATAAAATAAACCGGGTAATAAAACAGAAAGCACAAAAAATCGATAATGCCGACATGCAATGAAAAATGTACTATATTTTATACGAAGAACTCACGTTCCATAAATTCCACAATTTCAATTCTTTTCAATTTTAGCTGAGCCAAAGTCACCAAAAGAAGTACGAATTATAAGCCCGGCAGAAAAACGAAAGTCCATCTTAAAGGTGGGTGTTCCAGTGATGCCCGGAGCAATTATGAACGAAATGTCCGCACAATCTTTACGAAGCAACAAGCAAAATTATGAGCTTAGAAGTGCATCACCCAAGTCAGCTGATGCAATTTTTTCACGAATCAAAGATATTGTCGAGAACCTTCGAAATGTTGAACTGGAAATCAACGATTTCATTGGAACTAAAAATGGTAAACAGTACAATAAAATCCGCGAGACTCTGAACATGTATCTCGTCGAGTTGAATGGAATAACTCATGCCGACCAGGACGTGATAGATCAAATCAAAGTATGCAGAAACTACATAGTGAGTTGCTTGAATTTCCTGGATGAAAAAGCGACAAACAGTGGCAGGCCGGAAAGTTTTACGAGCGATGATGAAGTGTTTGAAAACAACAACGTCCAACCAGTTTCTAAAGTGGAAGCCAATTTCAAGTTGCAAAAATTGCTTAGAAATACCGCGGTCTAAAAAGCCTAATTGAAAGCTAATTTTTATTGCATGATCAAATTTACCAGATAATACTTTAAAATAAAAATGTTCATTGTAAGTAATTGGGAAGACTCTGTTGTGGTAATACAATACAACATTACAGCTAACAGGGTCATTTTTACGATATTTCGCAATAGTACTCTAAAATAGGATAACACATAGAGACACTGATATGTTTAGTTATTTATTAAGTAGATGAAATAAAATATTTAAAAGGTTTTTTTTGTTAGAATTCCCATCCTAACAGCATGAGGTTTAATTAAATTACAATTTTGAAGAACGACAAACTTAGTTCAGGAATGTCGGTAATTGCAACATCATATTTCTATAAATTAGTTAGAATAAATGTGCAACTAAAACTGGTCACACATTGTATCAAAATTCAGTTTTCCTTGAAAAACACAGTAAAAGTACTGCATAGTGTTACAGATTTTTGTTGCATTTTTAAGTGTTTTTAATGTAAATCTTACGCAACAATAATAAATACTAAACATTTTTAATTTAACTTGGTATCACAAGCTCAGGTTGGATATTTAATATTCAGCCACAACAGTTAAACTAGCCAAGGTGTCAAATTTCAATGGAAAAATAAGAAAGAGCATTGCTAACCAAGTGATAAAGCCACTAATAAAATTAATAGATTTAAATGTATGAAAAACGGGAATGTTCCCAGAATTGTAAGTTTCTAACAAGAAAGGCGAACAGGCGAATATCTTTAGAAAAAACTATTAAAAAACAAAATTACTTGTTGTTTGGAAACGTACAATTTATTGAATTAGTCACGATTTTTTGTTTAGAAGTTTAGAAGCCGATATAATAAGCCTATATACCTAACAAAAGCATTCGACTGTGTGAATGCGTATGTTACTAAATAAGTTGCAACTATACAAAATTGAGCAAACAACATCTGAATTATTAAAATCTGCAAAAAACATTGCATAGATTATAACGCACTACCGAACTCAGTTTTTCAGCAGTCATGAAATTACCTTTCAAACGGTTAGAAAATGAGCAGAATTTGATAGAACGTGTGAACGTTGAACATATAGTGCTTTCAAAAGTTACTGATTCTCGGGTTTTTTATTCTCTTCGCTGTCGTTTAAAACATACAAAAAATGTCCAGTGGGAAGCTAATGCTAAATTGAATATTCTTATTATGTCCGGTATCAAAACAATACCTAATTGGTCAAAAATATATATATATATATTTTAATGCATTTTCCTTTAAAAGATTTACCAATAAAAAATTTCTAACTCTCGAAGCAGCTAAAACATCCTGTATATATGGCCATTTTTATGCTAAGATTTTTTGAAGCAGTGTACAGGTTTTCGCCTGTACTTTTCAGTATTAACGTAAAATTTAATACCAGTGTCTTTACGCCAATTTTAGGCGCATCTGTGGAAGCATAAAATCACACTTTTAAAAATATTTATAAAACATTCTAGCTATATTTAACTCGTAGTTTTTCAAAATTATAATTTTTTTAAACTTTTCCATTTCACAGTGTCACACGTTTGAAAGTTTCATATTTTCATGGATAGAATAATTAACATTTTGAAATCAAGAGAAAAGATAAGCAGTAATAAACATTTGTTTCACAGATCCGACAACAATAATTTAAATATAAACAATAAATAATCATAAGCAAAAATGTGAATAGTACACAAAATTGTTTAATATCTACTTACGTGCCATATTTTTGCATTTTGTTAAAAATGGGTTCTATTATTCAAATAATATGTTTTCTCCGAATTTTTCTGTAATCCTGGTTTAGCCCACTTTAAAACATAAGTACAGAATTTTGTATTTAATACGAGTACAACCGACACACATGAATCTCTTTAAAAATGCTTCGATAAATGGTTTGCATTGAAAAATCAAAATTAGTTCAAGTGATAAACTCCGAAAAACATTCAAATATTTTAATTTGACTTAGCGTGGAGGATAATAATGCGGATTGTATTGACCAATAAGAAACACGGACAATAGGCGAAATAAATCAAGGAGAATGATAAAATGTATCTTACTTCTTTCTACCAAAATGTATTAATTAGTTAATTTTCGACAAAAAATTTCGATTTTATCATACTTATTTTAGTAAATTTAGGTTTTTGAATGTATATTGTTCCCGATATTTTCGACTAATGGACAACATTTTATTAACCCAAAACAGTATTGAAAATTACTTTCTGATCCTTGTTCACAACTGAGAAACTCAACACACTTAATAGGTTTGATTTGGTTCAAAAGTGCAAAGTTTTGTAGAATTATCAATAAACAAATAAAATATGTCGAACAAATTAACATAAATTATAATTACAGTTTCACTTCTATAGGCGTCATGATTAAGAACCATCAAGTTGTTACGAAACCAAATAATTTCGGGTCAGAAAAATTATATTATGCTTACTTAGTAAGCATTTTGACATGTAACAGTCCACACTGAAATGTTGGCCATAATGCTGAAACCCTCAGTAGACAATTAATATATGGAAATATTTCGAGTACTTGCAAGCGCATTGTCGACTGTTATCTAATTAAGCACTTGGATGGCAGCATGTTAATGTATTTTAATACTTTTAACTCTAATGAATCAACCAATTAGTATACCACATTCTCAGCGCTACTGAGTGTGCTTCTCATTTAAACCGTATTCCTGAAGTTATACCAGGATCAATGTAAAATAATTGAAGTTTTACGGAAAGAAAAATCAACATTACATGAAATTATTTAACTTAAAATTTAACACAAATATGAGAGAAATTTGAAGCGATTTAAAATAGTCAAGAGACCTTAGAAACGAGAACAATTAAAAACTTTTAACAATAATTGAATTAATGAGTTTTAAATCGGGATGATCTAATCGAAGTAATGATAAAATATTCTCTATGAAAGAGTGCAATTGTTAAAAATTTGTAAAAATATTGGTTTTACGTAAAACAGAATCGTATGTTAAAGCATGTATTTAAACTTTATTATAGGTATCGTAAAACCATATTTATTTAATACATTTTTACGCAAGATGAGGTTGGTTGAGAATAAGAAATGGAGCATGGTTACTTCTACGTAAAGTCAATTGAGTCACTGGGGTCTTTGCGTTTCAAAGACGGAGCGAGTAGGAAGAAGTACCAAGAATCCGCCTGTTTATCCATGGGTTTTTTATACTGTTAATACGTGGGTCTCAATTGACATTACATATACTATACAGACTGGAATTTTTAGGAAAAAACATCAGGCATTGAAAGACCTCTGACACAGTTTGTAATGTATTAGCCCTAAACATCGATAAAACGTATAGAGGAGAAAGTTATTAAGAAATTTTCGAAAATAGATGTAGAAATAACTTTGTAAAGATGTTTCACTTTTAATCACTTCTACATTTAGTTCGTCATGTCAAAGATAAAAACTCAAATTGTATCTTGCTCTAGTAAACGTATGCGAAATCCTTAAATTTAAACAATTTTTCGATCAAACCACAATGAAAGTTCTGTTAAATTTTTGTTAACGCAACATATTGACCAGACATGGTATAATGTCGTCTTTTATCACGCGGCCAATACAACAAACATTTAGTACCAGGTTTTTAACTAAACTAGTGGAAGTGGAACAGTTATCGCTTTAACAATGTGAACTGAGAACGAGAATTTTGATAAATTCAATTTATCAAAATATTTAACATGTAAGCCATAGTTTCATATTGCAAAGAGTGGCGCAATTTGTCTGTTTCATTGATGATCTAAGTAGTTCGTTATTAAACGTACGGTACATATTATCAAGGAAAAATAAAGGTATCTTATCAGCAGGTTGTAATCGCGCTAGCAAGATTAATTTTTATGAAACATGGTGTATGGTGATGGTGGGCTGCAGAGAGAGAAAAAATCCTTCAAATTAAAACAAAAGCAGTATCTAGGTGAGTTTATGTACATAATACCTACCAATTCCTCTATCACCGTATATAAACGCAATAGAGATTCATAATCTGCTTAGATATTAAACCTAACATGGAAGAACAAAAACAAAACCTTCATATCTCATTTTGGGCATATGTATTTAATCAGCTCTAGTACGCAACCAGAATCAAAACAGTTCTTAAACATTTGCAGCAATTTGCTTTCAAATATCACCAGACACCTACAAACACCAAACAATAAAATTGTAAAATTAAAGAAAACGCCCCATAAAGGTGTTAATGTTTAAATACGACAATAACTCAGTCTCTCCCAGGTTATCCACTTTCCGATAGCTAATCAAATCAAGTGTTGAAAACACATTTCATCATCAATTACTACAACTGACTGTTGAAAATTGAAAAAAATTGAAGCTCCGTTGATATGGGTGTTTATTCTGTAAGCTGCCGGTCATAAAACAACCAACTCATTATTGTTAATTGCACAAAAATACTTTATAGAATCAATTGTGACTCATATAATTAACACTGTTTAACTATTTATGGTATTCGTATCATAGTAAATAAATGTAAGAGTAGATTTAATCCCGGCATTAGGAATAATCGATTAATTAATGCTTGAAACAATTGGCACATTAGGTTTTTGAACGATTGCATTACACTTCCTCTAAACTAGCTTCCCATTGCACATCACAATCCTCCGATTATTTTAAGTTTTATTGCCATTTTGATGCATTAAAGTTCTAATTTTCTATCATTTACATATTGTTCCTAATATTTTTTTGAGTAAACTGAATTATTATTATAATGATATTTCTTGCTCATCTCAGGAGTTCAGTTAGTTTGTTTCAATTGTCTGTTTTACAAATTTATACCAATACTGATTTACAATTCAATTAGATTGTCGATAAAGTTGTTGACAAATATTATCGATTGATGCTTTTTTGAATTGTTTGTAAGTTTTGATTATAAATTCTATGTTTCTGTTTCAAGCTAGAGTTTAGTTTGGTCTGCCTTAATTCAATTTTCCATTTTCTTATAATAAATTCTTACAAAAATTATGCTGCACGATTTAGCAATTCATTTGAAGAGTCTCTATAAATTTCCCATAGACATTTTCTATTAGTGCCCTGTAGAATTAACTGTGTGTTTACTTAATTAATGCTTTCCCTAGTAGTAGAAGCGGGAGTTCAGTTAGATCTGCCCTAAACCAATTTTCTACATTCTTCTAACACAATATTACTAAAATCACACTGAAGCAGTTTATTGGAATACTCTCGATAAAGTACTTATTTAATTTTCCTATCAATGTTTTTTTGAATTGTCTGTCTGTATTCATTATTAGCACTCTTTTTAGTGGTTGAAGCTAGAGTTCAATCTAGTCTTCCCTAATTCAAACTTCCATATTCTTCAAGCGCAACGTTATTAAAACCAAAAAGTCGTTCCCTAAAGTTCTCACTTCTCATATACTTTTTATTAATATTTGGCTGAATTATTTTCTAACTTTATTAACAAGTTTTAGTTGTTAGACCAGTTTGAAATCACTTACATTTGTTCTGATTCGTTGCTACGTATTTTCCTGTGAAATCGTATTAAACGTATTGTTCTTCCCGATTTTTTTTTGTTACACTGCGCTTTTGAAACAGAAATAATACCACAAGTATACTCGCATCGCTGTTTGAAACCGTTTATTAACGTTTGGTAGGGCACTAATCTAGTTTTACTGTAATATTTCTTTTTAAACTAATTGAGTATAAAGGATTTGCCGTGATGCATTAATGATTTTAGCTACAAATTGCCGTCATTGTCCCATTCAATTGCCCAATTGTTTATACTAATGCTACTTTTCACGTAAATTTTGAATAATATTCTGGAAAAAACTAGAAAATACTTAAGACATATTGTATGACAAAAATAATAGTAATTTTCGATTTATTTAGCAGTACTTTCGCCAAAAAATGTATTGATATCTATTCATTCCTGAGGTGTCTTAATAAATGATAACAAATTTTGATATCAAAAGGATAAATTAGTATTCTGAAATGTTCTTTGAAAAAGGACAATAATTTATCACAAAGGGTTTACAACGATTTTCATAAAAATATTTAAATTTTGCCATGAATAATCAAGACGTCCGCAATTTTGGAAGCAAATGTGTAAACGTTCCAAATTGCATTATCCAAGACATTATTGTCTTACTAAATTATTTTTATCAAATAATGTAGTTAAAATAGCAGAGTTCTACTTTGCTGGACGAAACTTTCGAAAGGTCCTTTTTCTTGACCTAATTTTCCTACTAAAATTGCATTTAGTAAATGATAACCGATTGCTTAATTTTCATTAGATAATAATGTTTTAATGTTTCTTAAACAATTCTGTTTTAATCACCTATTTAGGTCAGTTTTTTTTATCAAACATCACATCCTTTATTATAGACCTTATTGATACAGATCTATTTTCTTATAAGCTTACTTTGTATGCTTTAAACCCGGAACTGTTATGTATTTGGTATCGATTTTTTTTTACATGGTGTTTTGCGTTATCAATTTGTCACTGTTTATTTACTGTTAAGAAATTATGTTTTGTTTAATATGAATTTATATTTTGAAGCCTTCTTAGAAGAAGTCCGGAGAGTCCAAATAGCTTTGTATTTTTAAAATATCTAAAACTATTCCGACTGGCAATATTTCCTGCAGTCATGTAAGTAGTATACAAAATGGAAGTAGTTTTAAATATGTATACCCTATTTCTATACGTATTGCGGACCGGAATCGCAAATTCGTATAAGAAACAATACAAATATTGAAGCAGAAGAATTTCCCCACGGAGAACGGTATAGATAGCAAATTAAACTAATATTGATGCATGCATTTAATTCAAACATTCACACAATTTAACGATTCAATGGGAAATAACTCAATTTTTAACTCGTCGAATTTTAGTTTGCGAGTAAGCATAATAAGAAAATAAAAATGAAAGTGCAACCAATTGCAATTGCACGAATAAAAAGTAACTACAGGTATTCAACACCTTTACAGCCTAATATCAAAATGCCATTTGAACGTTGAGATGAAAAGAGTTTGCTTATTTAAAATTGTATCAAACAGGTAAGGACACTTTCTTCTTACTGCGTAAAAACCAACAAGCATAAAATTAATAACATTATAGAAGTTTTTGTTATACAATTTTTTAAAATTGTTTCAACATTTTGTATAGCAAAAAAAAACAGAGAATACCTGCACAAAATGGATACTGAAGTAATCTAGGCAAATATAAATAATAAATACATATATGCAAAATGTATTTGATTAGGAACGTGTAATATTTGCAATTGAAGATGAGGAAATATTACATAGTACTTGTTCATAAATAAATTCAAATAGGAAAACCTCGTGTGTCATGTCTCTCAGAACAATTAAAATTACACGAAAGTGAATTATTAATTTTATTATATAATTTTTTTTTTCCTGGAGTTTGGCTACGAACTTAATTAAGTGACACTCTATATAATAAAAAATACACAACTACTACTTTTTAAGATTTTTAATAACCTTGGAGACGATTTCCATAATTTTAAAGTATTAAAACGTTTGTCGCATTTCAAAATTTTGAATGACTTCACATTAAACAAAAAAAATTCATTTTTTAAACCTAAAACACTTCAAATGCTTGTTTCATTTTTGGAAAATCTTCACTTTTACCATTGACTGAATGGTTATCTTTTCGTAATAGTCATATGATATTATATACGTATAAATATTTGCCTTTTTATAGCGATATCCGATTGTTCCAAAATTTGAAAATAAAACAACACTCAACTATCATTGTGTCCGATAAAAAGGCTCGATTAGTGATGGTACATTTTTCAGATACTTTACAACATAATGATAATGTTGATCTGGTCTATAAATGTTTTAATATATATTTTTAAATCACCAATCCAAAGATGTGGAATACCATATGCAACATGAGACAACTACCAACCAAATTAGAAGATACAAAATTAATTTTTGAATTTTTTTCAACAACTATGCTTCCAATCTTGAATTCAGTTCAGAAAGTAAATGTGTCACCTTATAATTGAATTGCGAAACTAAGTACATGATGCCCTTTGATCGTTTACTTTTGCGAAAATTTCGTCACTGCAATTTTTGTTTAATTAAATTACGATTCAGAGTGCATTAATAACTTTGACGCAAAGCTGAAAAAAAATAAATTTCGATCTTATCGATCTCGAAACTTTCGATTTTTGTAGCGTTGCATCATTATTCTCTGATTCAATGTTTTTTAACTTTGAAAAGTTTGAATTTTACTGCGATACCATCAAAACAACTAAAATCTCTTCCAGTGTTTAAATTGAAAATCTAAGAATCAGAACATACACGTTTTGGAGCTTTTTACCGTTTTCTAGAGCCAGTGAAACAATTATTAAATCACATTATAAATGCAACATAGAATTTCATCAGACTTGCACTTAAATATTTACATTCCGTCTTCTTATTAATTGAAGAAAAACTTAACTTTTTAACAATTTTGCGACTCAGGATAAACAAATTATAAAAATCACTAAAATCGACGAAATTTGAAAATGAGCTAACTGTATACGATGCTGCAATCCGCCGGAGTTATAAGACACTTTTATATAATGTTAACAGAAAAGTATGATTTACCTTTATTAAATTAAATTATCTGGCAAGTACACGCTTCTTTGTTTCGCGATAATGTTTAATTCTTTTAAATCTCTAATCAAAAGCATTTTACAACATCATACTTTTCCAATAGATTTTGATAAATGAAGAAATAATAAAGCGAACAAGATTAACGATAAATGTTATAATAATTGTAATTTATCATTAAAATAAACTAGAGAAAGAAAATCAATATAGTTATAAATCAGTATTATACAAATAGGTACGAAAATTATAGAGCTCTCGTGAAAATAATTTAAAGAATTCACATAAACGTAAAGGTTTGCTTCCGTAATACAATTATTTTGTATTTTTTGTGGTAGGTGACTGATCTTTCGATGCGTTTCTCATATTCACATTGAGATCTAAATAGAACTACTTGATTTTGTTCAATATATTAACGTTGAATTAACATAATTTACATAGACATTTGCAGTAAAGGCATTGAAATGTCTGTTTAATTTAATGTTTTTAAACTGTTGATGAATATAGAAATCAGTGGCACTTTTAAATAAATTGAACAGAACGAAACAAAACATTGCGTTATTTTTCATCAAAACACATAATTTTTGCACAATTTGCCAATACATAATTAAAATAGGAACTTACCTTATTAAAAAAGTCGTAATTAGCGAATTTTTCGACTCGACAAAAGTGCTAGAGAATTTCAAAAATTGCTAATAACTACTGTTTGCTTTATTTCATTTAAAAAAAGTTCTTATTAAGTATATGGTAGTAATATGAAGATTATGTGATCTTTTGCTCTTATTTTTAGTATTTGCGGTATTCTGTCTTTTAAATTTATCTCGATTGAAACTAGACCCCATATACGCAATTTCGCTCACAAAAAAAACTTTTAATTTCTCCAATCTGTTTAGCTCCAAGTTGCAAAACCGTTAGTTTCATCTGAATTTCATGTTTAACTTAGATAAAAAAAAAATAATGTTTTTCAGAGACATACTTTTTCAAAATACCACTTTCATCTGAAGAGGCCAATAGCTTTGTATTATTAAACGGATGCCCCAATATGAATGATCAAAACATTGAAGAGAAGCAACATGAATTTTATAGAAAATTTCACGCAAAATAGCAAAAATTTGATTTTTCAATTCTTACAGATCATGGGCAATAACCAAACCAAGATCAGAGACGAGGAACAACTTCGAAGCATCAGGAGAGAAGTTAAATCAATAAGTACTAGCGTGAAGCTATCTCGTAAAAATATATCCCAAGTCAATAAGGAACACATTGTCGAAAAACTAGCGAAATGCACTAACGAAGTTAGTGCCTTAAATGGTCGAGTCAAGCGGAAAGACATTGAGGGTACATTGAAGAACATTTCAGAAACCATGGAAGAAGTTTTGAGCATGGAAACTAACCAGTTGGATTCAGGAGCTGTGGAGAGTGATTCTTTTGTAAACGTGCCTCTTAGTCAAACGCGGTCAGCCTCTCTTGGTTCCTTACGTAGTATTAAGAAGTCAGCTAACACCAAATCGATCGCGTCCAGCAGGTCCGGTCCCTCTTTACGAGATATCGAAGGAAAAGTGGAACAACTGAAATTTCAAATCCCCACAGCCATTTCCAATCGAGATACCGCACAACTTAGAGATCATCAGAAGACGATTGTTTCCATGACAGCGGCATTAGACATGATCCCTTTGAATGAGGCTGATTCGCTTACCATCCGGCGCAAAGACGACCTCAACAAGAAACTTGGTGAGCTTTATCGGAAATTAACTAGAGTTTTGAGGCAAGATGACAATTTTAAAAACAGCCCAAAAACTCATATGGCTCGTTCCGATCTTGCACAAATAGAAATGGCCATAGCAAAAAATGACTCTTTAATGGACGCGCTGCTTAAGCAGAAATATGCCGATTTCTCACAAGTTCGAAACTATATGATAGAAATTAACAAACACCTGGCTACCGTTGTTATCGTGGATAAGGAAGTAAAGGAACGAGTCGGCTTGCTATCTCAAAAGCTATCTGAGACAGCAAGAAATTTAGATCAAGTTATGGCCCGAAGGGAATTTGATTCAAAATTAACAAAGTTGTCCGAGAGTTATGAGCGCTTAATGCGAAACTTGGAGCCCAACTCCAATTCAGATGATACCTTGATTAACCTAGAAGTATTGCAAGCTTCTTTAGAGTCCCTGGAGGAAATTGATGAGAAGAGCAAAAATCGTAAAAAGGAGCTGCTCAGTCATATATCTTCCAGTATTAAGAAGATAACCCAAACGCTGGAACAGTACTCTGATCGGAACATTGTTAAAGGCATTGTTGAGGATAATGTGATTCTAAGACGAAACCTGAAAAGCAATGACAAAGAATTCACTGTGATAGATCAATTTATTAATTACTGGACCAATGTGAAAGGCAATTTTAACGTAAATGCATACTCAAATTTATCCCTTTTACGAATTGACAGTGTGTTGGAAGATATGCAAGTCTCGATTAATGATTTAAGAATCCAGATTGCCAAAAAGTGCAATACAAATCCTCCTAGCAATGAACGATTGAGCAAAAAACGATCACAATCTGTACCGAAATTAAACACAAAAGATAGCAGCGATGAGACTGATCTGATAAAAACTAGTGCTAAAATCTACAGCATTCCAAAGCATGAAGTACGAAGTAATGAGCAACAAAACCAGTCACTCAACTTTAACCAAGTAGAGAACATCAAATTACATGTTCATGAAATCAAGCTGGACATGAATAATAACTCAAATAAAATCATTATAAAGAACAAATTAGAAGAATGTCAAAATCTTCTCGCTGAGCACGTAAACGATTCAAATCAGGCAGTTGCAAACAATGCAAAACTCGTTTTAGAAGAAATCAATGAAATAGCAACTAAAATAGTCCTGGAAAACTTTAAAGAAAAATTGCCATCATTATCTAAGAGAACTCAGAACTTAAAAGGCACAACAAATTTCGAGTGGGTTCAAACATTAAAGACCGAATTACTTCAAATACAGTTAGATTTGAAGAACTTAAATATCCCATCAAAATATGAATCACTCTTGCAGGAAAAGGCATACTTACTAAATGAAGTTCGAGCGAACATTGATATTCTAGATAAAAACGATTCACTTTTGAAAAAGCAAGAAGCTGAAAGAGCCGAGCAGCTTAAATGTATGCTGCAAGAATTAAAGGGCAAAGTTCACAAATTTTCCGGCATTTCCGGTGGTGTTCAATACAATCAAATCGAAAGAGGCTTAAATAAACTTCTTCTCAATATTGGAGAGTTGAGTAGCAAACCCCTTTCTAATACATTGACTCAGGAAATTGAAAAACTTTCAAAAATTTTGGAGAGTCGAGCTTCACAACCACAGAGTTTTAAAAAAAGCACTGAACATGACACAACAGAAGGGGAACATATTGAAATGCTGAAAATTAAAAACGCTTTACTACAGCTTAAATTGGACATTGATCAGGCTGCTGTAGGCAGCATTGATGATTGCTTAAGATTCCAGACTCGCTTGGATCTAATAAAATTCGAGCTGAGTCAGATAGTAGTCAAATCCAACGAAAACTTAGCTAAAGAGAAAGAAATATATATGAGCGAAACTGAAACTTTAATGAAAGTAATTAATATGAAAATATCTCCTGGAAAGGAACCATTGAAATTGAAACCACCCGAGCTGAGTGAATATAAAGCAAATAAAGAAATAGAAAAAATTGAACAGGCATTTGAAAATATTAGAGAAAAAATCTCAAATTCAACTACCGAGCAAGCTAAACATGAGTTTTATCAATTTGCAAACGACATACGAAACCAGAAGAAAATGCTTGAACGCTATGATGTTGAACCAGAATCTGAGTTATACCAAAAGCAAGCAAATATGATTGAGGGAATGGAAGCTTATATTGAAATACTCGAAAAGGAAGCAGCTGATATCAATTTTATATTCAACATGGAAAAAAGAAGTAAAGAACTTGAAGAGGAATTTGCCAATGACCCTCAATCTAAATTGCCAGAACTGGAAGGCGAATTAGAATCAGTAAGAATTGGATTACACCAATATAACATGAGCTCATCTAATCAAATCTTAACAGAAAACAAATTGAAGTTGGAACATCAAACAGACTTATTAATGCAGAAACTGGAAGAACTGAAGCAAAATCAAGCGCAACTGAAGGACGATAAAAAGGAAAAAGCAGCAATTGAAAATGTGAAACAAAATATCAAAATGATTGCACCACAAATTCACTCATTTGTTGGTATCAAATCAAGTAATGAATACTATAAATTAAATGAAACTATTATCAGATCATCGTTAGCTTTGGATGAAATTCTAGTCAACAAAGGTGAACTACACAATAGTAGGATAAAGTTACTCAAAGAGCTACACACTCTTGGAAATATTTTGGACGAAAGGACAAACCAAACTGAACAGATATTTGAGATAGAAAGGGCTCTTAATGAAATATCAGATGTGCTCAAGCAAAATGTTGGGAATGACTTTAAAATGAATATTATAGAACGGATGGAAGAAATTGGTAAACGATTGGCAAATCTGCAATTGGCAGTTGATCTGGTTCCAAGACAAGAAGCATGCGCCAAAAGAGTTATCATGTTGCAACAACAAATTGAAAAATGTTCTTCGAAATATACAAATTCTAGCTCTGCAGAGTATTTACCTAAAACATATAGTTTGGGTTCGAGCAAAACTTCGAGCAGTTCAGGTAACATTGAACATGAAAATGATGATATATTAACTGCAATATCGACCAGGATTGAAGATATCGCCAAACTTATAGAGAACACAAAATCCGACAACGAATTGCAACAGTTAGATGACGCTCTCATAGAACTAGCTGTTCAACTTAAGAAGATTAATTATCCCGCACATATGAATGAACAGTCAACATTGAACAATCTGCAACAGAGGATTGATTTCCTTACCGATATCATTGAAGGAAAAATGCAAGACTATGATCGATTCAATTCTATTAGGCAAGAAGTCGACTTATTAAGAGAGAAGTTAAGCAAATCATTGCCTTGGGAAGTTATAGATCAAATTGATGAACGATTGAATCAGTTACTTTTAGACTTGAAGAAAATTCCCAATTCTAGCTTGAAAGCTGATATAGATCAATGTATGCATTTGATTATTCGATTAACAAAACACATTGGTGAAGCAAAAATATCAAATAATAACAAAACATCGTAAGATTGTATTTGGCAATTAATATTTAATTTCAAATCTGTATTCCATAGTATGTAGAATATTTCTATTCATTACTCATTTAATTTATTTTTAAGATATGTTATTTAATTCTATTTGGGGCCACTACTAATTATTGTATTACCGTAAATTTTCCTAAAATACTTTCTGTTGAATTTATACTAAGAATTAATCACATTATGTATCACCAACGCTTGTATAGTATTTTGTATGTAATATTAAACAAACATGTAAGTCCCAAGTTTTTTTGACTGATCAAATCCTACAACTCTCTCCTATATGAATTAGTGAGTAAAAATAAGTAGCAACATTTTTTCCAATACTGGGAACTGTTTTACTTGAATACTTACGTACTAAATTTCAGTTTGGGTAAGAATTTTTAATTCCATCAATTATTATATATCTACAGGGATGCATTGCATGGGAATCTTCGATACCGTAAGAGCTGTGAAGTCGGTTAAATTATAAAAAATTGCGCAATCAGGGGTCATATACATGACGTTTTCAAGAAACAAGTATTTCTTTTAATTTTTGAGATACTTAGGAAAAAGTGATTTTTCGGACTCGGAGCTCTTTTAATAGGTATTTGCAAAAATGCTTTGTATACGGCCCTCTAATTGCGCAACTTTTTACTAATTTAACCGACTTCGGATCTCTTGCGGTTTGGGAGATTCCTATGCATGCATCCTTATCTTGGTCACCCTGTATAAAAATAAGCTCAAAATAGTTGTAAGATAATCTGCTTTTTCCTGAAATGGCCAGACAAATCCTAGAACTGGAACACTTGGCAATTAGTTGGTTTATTGAAGGAGATCGTGAAGTGAATAGCAAAAGATATAGAGAAATAAAATCATAAAGAATTAAAAAATTATACGTATTTCTTTAAAAATATACAAAACTAAAAATAGGTTCAAATTTAACGGAATTAAATATCAGTTGTCCCATTAGTATAAATTAGGTTGAAAGCGTCTAAACAGTAAATACCGTATTTATTTGATTTTCCGATCAACATATATGTTTTATAAAAACATATACATACAAAAATTTTATAAAAGTATTTTGAATTTTTCTTTCAGCTTCACAAAAGCACTATCGACATCAACTAATCCAATTTTTCTTACTTTCAAAATTTTGCATTACATTTGTAATCATTTTATACGCTTGCTAGCATGGTTAACCGACAAGTTACATTGTTTTGCCCCAAGTATCCCTTACAATGAGCATTTTGAATGAGCAAAATAAATTTCTCAGCAACATTAAGATAAAGCATTTTAAAATAAAGAGACAAAACCAATTTATACATTTTACATTAAATTTATATACCTGTTAAGATATTTGATGAGAAACAAATAGCAGTACTACAGATGGCAAAAGAATTGAAGCAAAAAAAATATATCTACGTGTCTATTGATAAAAAATTTTTGGGGTATTTGAAATATTTAATAGATTGTCGAAACTTTGATGACATGCAAAATGTCTTTTGATAAAAGTCGAAGAAAAAAGCAGGAATATTCTTAACGATTCTGAGAAATTCGTTATCTGAATGCCCATTGGATCAAATACTTTTCGCATGCAATAATTTAATTACGGTCGACGATATGAGCAAACAGTTGTCCCTGGGGTATCAAATGATAACAAATTTAATGCAGAATGACGAGAAAATTTGTATGTGCTCTTTAAAAAGCCAAGGTTAATGTTGGTTTACTTTTATGAGATCGGAAATAATTTTAACATAAGCAGATCCCCCCATCATTTTTATTGTCCCTACCAGGTAATGATCAAATGCAATTCGCTGTAGGTAGGCATAAAATGGCAAATGAAAAAGCTCAACGTGGGTGAGCTTGAAACTTTAAATAGTAGTAATGATGCTGCTCAAATTAATTTTATTCAATTTACATGTTTTGTTCTTTAATCTCAACATAGGTGTTTAGAGATAAATCGATTTAGAGAATAAACAATGTTGATACTGTTTTGAGACTATTTTATAGCTGTTTTGTGCTACGAAAAATGCTATTTTGTATATATATCTATCTATATATACGTTTCAAATTTGGAAATTTTCAATTTCTATGAATTTGCTTAGTATTGACCAACGCTTACAACAAATGTTAACCAAATTTTAATGTTTCCGTTGAAAGTTTAACGTTCATGTTCATAACAACAAAGCTTCCATTTTTATAGATAATAGTCAGCAGTGACAGACTACTTTCTTGTTATAAGCAGCAAAACTGTAGGACAAAATTATTGATCTAATTAATAATTTAATAAAATACATTTGCATTTATGTTGTCTAGGTACTATTCTTTGAGATCATGAAACAGTTTCAGCTCGTTTCTCTCAAAACTAGATTTATTTGGTACCTACGTACGGAATTAAAATCTTAGTTTTATTCAGCAAGTTTACAAAACAATTCTGTAATAAACTTATATTTAAATTTGAAACCCTGACAAATCGCCATATATTTTCAACTTAATGCTATTAATAAATTGCGCTGCTCCCCGTAATTATTATTATTATTTGCAACGGATAATTGTTTATCATTTTAACATTCATGCGCACCCAAAAATACTATCAGGCATGGCATGAATTCCTGGCAAAATGATCTGACTCACAGTATGGATAACGCCATTCAATTTATCTAATCTATTAAATTTTTAGTCTTCAATAGCTCGGTTTTTATTAGTACAGAACGATTTCAAACATTGATGTGCCACTCTAGGTAATTTACATTGATGTAACAACATCACGTAAGTTGAAATTGATTATTGATAACAAAATTTATGGTGATACTGATTATTTCATGTAAAGTTGCATATAAGAAAAGTATCGGTTTGTCTATTATTGGATGAAGGCAAATACGCTGTTTTGATACCAAATAGGTTTAACCTTAAACTTCGGGAATTTATTGATCATCGTCAATAAACTATGAAATTTTGCTAAAAGGTGGTACATCGCCTATTTATAGACATTAAGTCGTAATTGTGAAGGTTTAAGAATAATAAACCTTGCAATTTATTATATATTATAATTAGGGCTCAATAGATACAAGGAATACAAAAATATATCAATCAAAACAATTTATTAATTGCTGATAGAAAATATAAAATTTGCAAATAAGTGCATCGAAATGATTAATACATGTCACAGCATAAGAAGGCAATACATCTATAACATCTACTATAAGGCAATAAATGTGAGCGATGTTTTAATGAATAGCTGAGTAAAACTAATGAGCGGATTTTTCCACAGAAATATTTTTTATTTTATAGAGTAGATGTAGAATACCATTACAAATATTCTACATTTTTCATAAAATTTGAATTGATCAAGATGTGTCCTTGTGTATAACCAGTAATATTTTTTTTGATTGAATGCAATACTGACAATTTCGTAACTCTTGTAAAATGAACAGAAAATTTTAGAAGTTACAATGTAATTTGTGTTGTTATTATAATGCTTTCATGTTCTATGGAAAATCAATGGTTTTCGACGAAATTAAAGAAACATTTTTTTTGCGTAATTTATAATGCATTATAACAAAATCATTCTTTTTCTGAAGCGTACAGGATTTAAAGATAATTTTGAGTTATGAAGGCTAAAAATTGCAATATTTTGTGAAATTTTGTGAAAAGAAATCATCGCCACCGATTATCCAATGAATGAGCGTGTTGGTTACTCTGTTTAAGCTCTTGGTCATCCATGTTTTGAAAAGCTTGCGATCACTTGTATTATATTATTCATAGTAGTTCTATCTAGAAAATTACGTTTCATTTTTGCTCCAGTTTTTCCTAAATATAGGACGGATTTTTATTTAGAATTCTCCTTCTATATGCAAATGTCATTTCCGGACATCTAATTCTTTTTAAATAACTAATAATAATTCAAGAATAAAATATATACAAGAAAGTATGTAAAACGTGCCATTCCTAAGAAAATTTAGATCGTTTTCCAAAACATCGAACTTAGTAATTTTTGAAATATTCTGCGTTTTAAGATGGGAAAGCAAAGAAATATCTGAGAATATTCTGAAATATTTTTCTTCTAACGAAAATATTCTATTGCTTTGTAAAAACTGAAACTGAATGCTACTGTATGTTCAAACATCACTTTTTTTGGTCAACTAAGATTTTATCCCTAAAATCTAAATAAACATTCTTTACAAAAACTATGAATTATTAACAATTACTATATTTATATTGTTTCGTTTGGTTACAGAATGGGGAACACAAATTCCTACAGCCAAAGGCGCAATGAAGTAAACCAAAAAATCCAGGAAAAAAACCACATTTGCATAGCTATGAATGAAGAAGTCCAAGAAGCCATCGAAAGCAAAGATCCAACCATCGTCAAGAAGCTGATGGCAGAAGTAGCAGCTCACATGATCGATTTGCAGCAACTCCGATCGATGGAATTATCCAGCAGCGAACGAGGAAGAAGCCAGAGGATTTTAAAAAATTTTGAAATGTTTATGGCCTCATTGAAATCTGTTCTAGTCCCGGAAAGTCCAGCGTTTCAGAGCAGCTCACGACCTTGTAACTCGAGTCGAATTGAGCCAGACATTGTCAGCGATTTAATTCACTTGGAGAATTCTGATAGTACGAGGAGAAACTCGTCCTTAACTACCCCTGAGTCATCGGCAAATCCATCAGCGACGCATTCACAGCGTCAAAAGGATCTGCCGCTGCATACAAGCACATGCCACGCAATTGAAGGTGTATTTCAAGCCATCGTGAGCGAATTTGACTTTCTAAAGGATAAACTCCAAAGGCCGATAGATGACATTGGCGAGTACTACCAAATAGATAAGGGAGTTTTATTTCTGCAACTACAACTAAACAGCGTAGAACTACCAGATAATTCACCATTGTATGCTACCAAATTTAAACTACTTGAACAATTGGAAAGTTTTCGTTTGCTCCTTGATCAAAAGTCTGGTGAACTTGAAGAACAGCAACAGCTCGCTAAAGAAGTGAATACTCTGGAATTGAAACTGGATAGTGCAGTAACGGAACAAGAACTACAATGCTTAAATAAGAGGGCACAACTGATACAGGAAACTATTAAAAATGGGATTTGGGATGATAACTTAGTTGAGAATAAAGCAGATATATTGAAAAGGTTATTCGCTATACTAGTTAAAATTAATTGTGCAAGTAAGACAGAGGATACGGAACTGGACGAGTTAGAAGGTATACGGTCAATCGATCGTATACTAGAAGAGGAAGCCGAAAAATTAAATATCAACGACGATGAAGAATTATACGCCAATGTTCCCCATCGAAGCAGATCAGAAGTCGACTTGCAACCAAGACTTCGACGAACAAGCAGCAACGTGTCCCAAAGAGGCACTGTCTACATTAACGCTGATGTTATCAGGCAGAACACAACATCGGATAAACCACAGATTTTCTCGAATAGCGTGCAGAAATATTTAGAACCAATCAACAAGCGTCCATTACCGCTGCCCCGCAACTATGAAGAAAAAGTTATCAATGACTTGCCTAACCAATGGAGGAGACTGAATAAGATACTTAACAGTCAATTAATCAGCGACGCAGAAAAGTCCGAAGTGGCGGAGATCAGAAAGCAGGCGGAAATTGCTAAAAATTTGTTCGAAAGAAAAATTCGGAAAATCATGGACAAAGTAGAGGAAAGTGTCGAATTGTGAAAGTAGTATTTTGCCAGACTTTTTTTTGACTRATATTAATTAATAGCTTTATTTCAAAATTGACTATTTCTATTGTCAGAGCGGGTTGGTAAATGCTACTATTTTCAGAATGAAGCGGAAGTATTGATAATATAATGCAAGATTATATTATCACTTGAGTCTTAAGAAAATGGAAGACCAATTTAACAACATATTCTTTTTTTTATTAATACATAAGTTTCAAACAATATATTCTGCTATACTGTGCACTAACGTTCGTATTCAATGACGCAGGATATATTAAATAAAATATGTTTTTTCCAACTTTAAGCGCTTTAAAACATGGAAATGTGAAGGTTTGGAAACGAAAGCATTTTAATCAAGTACATAAGTTTTGTTCGAAAATTGATACGCACATATTTCCAAATTTAAGCATAAAATCTAGAATTAGAATTAGGCATATAATATTTGGGACAGTATCTAACTTATTTAATTTTGTATTATAATGCGTATTTGTGAAATTTCCAGTATGTCTGTATCAGCCAATGTTTTGAATGAACTGTATTTCTATATACTGAAAGCTATTAAAACTTACTCCAGAGTTAAGTTTATATAAGGAAAGGGACTAAATGTTTCAATGTTACCGACAATACGCGTCTTACAAACTAGTTCTAACTCTAAGTTACTATGTGAATGCACCATTGCTTTTTGTAGATGTATTATTTTTATATAGCTGCTTTTAATACATAAAATATCTCAAAGCTTTGTATCATTTTTAATTTGCTTGACTGTTATTTTACTTAATTTTTTGCCAGTGTGTTTCCATTGAAACATTTAATAGAATGCTTGAATTTCTTACACAGCGCTCACTGTAAAAAAACAGTCAAACTGAGGTAGGTGTTTAATGCAATCAATAGTAAGAAAAGAACATTATAGACGCGAGTGTCGCCTAAACGACCTCACAAAGTTAAATAACATGAGCCAGAAATGTAAAATATGTGAGTTTGTCATCATATTTGAATTTTCTTTGAAGTGCACAAGTTTTCAATTTCCTTCTAAATATTGCAAGTGGGAAATGATAAGGGAGAAGAACTATCCGAAATGAAGTTATGCTTTAACACGAGAAATACCTCTGATTTCAATTCGATTTATAAAACAGTGCGATTAAAAAACATGCCAAAATTAACTTAAGGTTGTGAAGGAGGCAGAMAAATTGATGGTTTCTAAAAGTAAGTTTGGAAGTCCTTAATGAGTATCAAACTAGAGCTGTAAGAATGTTTCATGTTTTGAACAAGAATTTAATGTTCATCGTTGGCTCAATGAATTTAGTTCAAATATCGTAACAGATTCCTATGAGTCTAAGATAAATCTTCACACTGATTGCTTCATTTGCGAATCCAAATTACCACCTTATGTGTACAAAAATAAGCAACATTCAACACCATAAAATCAGATTAAATTCAATGGTCCCCGATGTAAAAACAATGCAAGAAAGAAGACCATTGAGAGGTTGGTTAACTTCTTAAAAATCAGGACAAATTTAGAATTATGTAGAAATTTTTATCTAAAAATACCTAAAGCAAGGGAAAGGTATCAAAAGCCGGCGACCTCAAAATTAAAAAAATGTTTACATTTTACTTCCCTGGGTGGTCCCAAAAAAATGTGGTAACTTTTTTTTCACGAGTTAAATAAAGTTTGGATATTTCTATAAAGTGGTAAAACGTTACTCAAAAACCTGATTACATTTTTAGGTGTTAAAATTCCAGCCCGGGACTTGTAAAGCTTTAATCAGACCATGAAAAAACCCGAAAAGAAAATGCAAATATATTTTGTCTAATTCTATTCAAAAAATCGCAAATGCAAAAAGCTATATATATATAAATAATCTTTATTTCCTACGGAAAAAGGCTATCGACCCAATCGGTCTTTCTGCCCTTGTTTAGTACATATGTCTTAGCCTAGC